GGCCAGAGCTCTGGCCCACCTGTTGTTTCACTCATCCAGCATGAGCATAGCCACTGAGCACTTACTGCAAGCCCCGGATGCTGTTGAAGGTTCAGCGACGTGAAAGGGTTTTATTCTTGTTACTGTAGGTTTTTTTTTTTTTTTCCTTTACCACAAACACAAAGTCCTGGCTGGCTCCAAATGCAAATTCTCCCTGCCTCCACCTTCTGAGTGGTGGGACTGTGGGCACCCACCTTTATGCTGGGTGAGAGATGGCTTTTGAACTCTAACATCTAACATTATTACTAGAGGGGACCATACGCCAAGTCACTATGTTACAGAAAACTACGGACCAGGCATTACGTGACTGCCCACTGGTGAAGCTGCTACACAGACAGTGATGTTGCAGATCTAGCCCTCAGGCTTCTGGCCTCATGGGAGAAAAATGGTTACATCAAATAAACACAACCCGTTGTGCTGGATGGGGGCTTCCTCTTGCTCAGTGCTCTGTCTGGTTAATCTAATAGCAACCAGGATGTAAGAAATACTCGGTGCTAGCCTCTGTCTCAGAGTGGGCAGGTGGGGTATTCAGAAACCATATTCCTTGCTGGAGGAAGTAGGTGGAGCGCAATGAGAAGAAGGTCCCACCTCACCCTTGCCTGTGTTTGCAAACCCGTGATGCACAGATGCCAAGGCAAGAGGAAGGTGTGTGTGTGTGGGGGGGGGTGAGTGAGGAGGACAGGGGAGTCCTGAAGGAGCCCTGCATATAGGCTTGAAGCAAGAGCACAGTGAAGGGCTGGGCTTCCTGAATGGAGGAGCCCGCTGGGGAGCAAAGGCATAGGCTAGGAAAGAAGGCAATGAGGACAGCACAAGCGTAGACATGCTCAGCTGTAGAGAGGGAAGCTACAGAAAGTGTCAAGATGACCAAAATAGTGTTTGCAAATTCTTAGGTCCCCTCCCCTCCCTCTCTCCTTTCCTTCTTCCTTTTCTTTTTTGTTTGTTTCTTTCTTTTCCTTCCCTTCCTTCCTTCTTTCTTTTCTTTCTTTCCTTCTTCTTCCTTTTTTTTGGAGACAGGGTCTCTCTGTGTAGTCCTGGTTGTCATGGGATTCAATCTGTAGACCAGGCTGGCCTCAAACTCACAGAGGTCCACCTGTAGGGATTAAAGATGTGAACCACCAATCGGTCTCTCTCCCTCCCTCCTCCCTCTCTCTCTCTCTCTCTCTCTCTCTCTCTCAAGACAAGTTCTCAATAGCCCTAGATGACATGGAATTCTCTCTATTAAGCTGGTCTTTGAGCTCACAGAGATCTGGGATGAAAGGTGAGCACCACCATGTCTGGTCTTCCTCCTTTTAAACATTGGGTCTAGTGTGTTGCGCTGGTCAGCCTCAAATTCCTGAACCTAAGTGATTCGCCTGCTTCAGTCTCTGGGACAAAGGTGCTCTGCTTAAATGTTGGGCCTTTACTTTTTCAAACTGTTTTTCTTACCTAGCCCAGGCTTGCCTTGAACTGGCCCCAAACTCATAGTCACCTCCTTGCATTTTGATTGCAAATGTGCCAGGACACATGGATGGCTTTAGAGGAGCCTGGTTCCCACTGGCTCAGGATGGAAGTAGGCTCCAGCAGCCTAGCCTGGAAGAAGGGAGGCAGGTTGGTGAATTGTTGTAGAGAAGAAGTCAAAATTCCAGAATGGCTCCTGGTTAGAGGAAGGAGGTAGAACACACCAGAGAGCTTCCACCCTGCATAACAGTGGCTTTGAGTTCCTGCACTTGAGGCTGAATGCAGGCAGAAGCAGAGGCTGGCATGTGGGTAAGGTCCCTGCTTCCTTACCCAGGGATTTCCTAAATGCCTGCTGGTGGACAGGACTCATCCGAGGAAGTGAAAAGACATTCACACCTTTTCTAAGAAGATCGTCACAAATCACAGTTATGCACCATTAAAACGCTATTCTTAGGACCTACAATTCAATCAATAGAGCACTTAGAGGCATGGATAGCCAAAAAGAAACTCCTTATAGACTCAAAAGTAGTTTGATCCTGGATGAGTAGGAATGGTAAAGGAGAAACAAGAGACAGGCTTTCCTTTTCAATAAACTTTTCAAAACTTACAGTTTTGGAGACTCTCGGAGAGATGGCTGCGTCATCAGGAACGCTTGCTCATTCAGAAGACCTTGCTTGGGATTCCATGTACCCACATGTCAGCTCACAGCGAAGTCCCTAAGTCCAGTTCCAGGGTATACAGCGCCCTACTCTGTTCTTTGCTGGTACCAGGCACGTAAGCAGAGCACACACGTACACGTAGGCAAAACACTCGTACACATAAAATACGCTTGAAATAAAATTAAATTACAGTTTTTCAAACAGTGACCGTATTTAAAATACAACATTCGCCTTTGCTCTGTTTAGGGTCTCCCTGTTTTTGTTTGGCTTTCTTGTATGAGATGGTGGTGATAGATACAATTCATTATGAAATTACTAACTTGGAAAATTCATCTAAAGCACGCTGGCAGAGTGGGAAAATGGAGTGGCCAGGTCCGCGCGGGTGCGGCTCCGTGTATGGCCGGCAGGGGTCAGGCGAGCTCCACGCAGCGCCAGAGCAGGTCCCGCGAGTCATCGTTGCGCTAGGAGCCTCGAAGAGCTTTGAGGCAGAAGGCTGAAAGAGAGCACTTTGGATAGGCGGCAGTTGGACGAGGATCCCAGCTCCCATCCGGAACGCGATGTGCTAGGAGCTCCCCATAACCCCGCAATGGCCTGCTTTACAGGGCCTCTGGCTCCACCCAGCCTCTCCGACGTCGGGGCGTGGCTGGCTCACCCTTGATCCCTACCTAGGTTTGAGTAACTCACCTTCCAGGGATTTGCATGGGGGTCTTAAGCAATCTTGCCTCCAGCACCTAGTTGTTTGCAAAGGTCAGGGAAGGAGGTGATGTGCGAAATGAAGCAATATTACAGACGTAAGGGACTACCATTTCGTTATAGGGTTAAGTTTCATGTCTCTGGGGAGAAACTCCCTCCAGGCCGAAGTTGGGTTGTTGTAAAACTCTGTGGCTGCCTTAGCCCAGTGTCACTCCCCGGGGGACCCAGGTGCCTACATTTACATGTCACTAGATTTGATAAGGAGCATGACCAGATCATACTTAACACACCTGATTACTCCCCCCACCCCACCCCACCCCCGCTCCCCAATCCACTTTTCAGGCTACATAGTTTGTTTTGTCTTTTATTTTTAAAACATTTCTTGTGTACATCATATAAAAAAAACAACAGGAAAACAATCACATTCTTTCTGTTGCTATAGCTGGACATGTGCAGATTGGGTAATTATCTTTAGCTCCAGGTTCCAGAAGCGTCCACACTCCCATCTCCAGTATTTTCTGTTGCATCATAGCATGGCAGGGGACCTCACATGACAGAGCAGAAACACTTTTTGAGACAGGGTTTCTCTGTGTAGCTTTGGAGCCTGAGCTGGAACTAGCTCTGTAGATCAGGCTGACCTCGAACTCACAGAGATCTGCCTCCTGAGTGCTGGGACTAAAGGCGTGTGCCACCAATGCCCAGCTACACTTAAGACTCTTATAAAGCCACTAAAGTCACAAGGGACTTTCTACCCAAGCCATTAACAGATGGCTGGGATTAAAGCTTTTTTTTTTTTTTTTTTTTTTTTTTTTTTTTTTTTTTGAGACAGGGTTTTTTGTGTAGTCTTGGCTGTCTTGGACCTCACCCTGTAGACCAGGTTGGGCTAGAACTCGCTGAGATTCTCCTGCCTCTGCCTCCCCAGTGCTGGGAAGGGAATAAGGCTTTTTAACAAGTGTACTTCTGGGGATGCTCTCAAGTTGGTAGAGTCCTAGTGGGCACAGCTGGGTGACATATTTCATTCTGCTAACTTGTGGAGGTTAGAGGACAATTTGGGAGTCAGTTCCAGGACTCCAACTCAGATTGTCAGGCTTGGCAGCAAACCATCTTGCAGGCTTGCAGGTCCCCTGCCACATTTTGAACATCTCGTGTGGTCACTCCAGACCTGCCTCAGCTGATCACCATGCTTACTGCATTCATGAACATAGTATGACTCAGAACAGCTAAGTTAGGGGCAGCCATGAGCTCTGCATCTTCTCCCTTCGATGGGATTGGATTGGGGTTGGAAAGGTTCTAGCTCCACCTGTTTCAAGCCTCATCCCTTAGCTGTAGGTCTGGACCAAGCACAGCTGGGCTGGGATCCAGGAAAACTAGTTTTACTTTTGGGGACCGAGGAGTGGACAACTCAGATGCTCTACCTAGTGGCCCCAGGATGGGATGTTCAGGACATTCTGCTTTTGCTACTGGTCCATCTGCATCCTAGATCCAATTCTGACCTTGAAAAAGTCAAGTTGTCGGCATATTAAAAAACAAAACCACACTCAGAGATTGGTCTGGGCATGGTTGTGGCACATTCCTTTAATCCCAGATGGGAGACAGAGGCAGAAGAATCTCTTGAGTTCAAGGCCAGCCAGGGTTATATATATTGAAACAAAACAAAACTTAGAAATGTGCCAGGTGTGTTCATGCCTGTGATTTTGGCACGAAGGAGGCAGAGGAAGGCTAGACTCTGTCTCAAAAACAATCAACTTTCTATCCTTGAGAGACTCCAGAAACTCAGTAAGGTCCTTCTCCTGCTGTCCCATGCTCCAGCCCTCCACTCTCTTTAAGAGAAAACCCAGGGAGGTGCATGGGACTCATGCCTGTAATCCCAGCACCTAAGATAGGAGCAGGTCAAGATCTTAGTTCAAGGACAATCTGGTCTACAAGGAGCCCCCGTTAAAACCACGGATAAGTTGGTAGGGGAGGGAGAAGACAGCAGACTCAGTTCTCCAGCACACTCCAGGTTCAACCTCAGCACCATGAAAGAGAAGAAATCGCTGGGAGATTTGGGCCTGAGACTTCCCATTTGAGCCTGTCAGGGCAGGACTCTGCAAGGACACTCAGGGTGCAGACACAAAGCCACAGCAAGGGGCTTGCCTCTCCCCCAGAACACTGCTTTGGGTGCTGAAGGTACCATTTGCAGCATGTTTAATACAAAATGGCAGCAGCTGTGCAGTTGTAACAAAATTAGCCACAGGGTGTCTAGAGAAATGTACACAGGCAGAGACTGGAGTTGAGCCAGGCAACCCAGGCTGGCCACAGGGCCTGTGCCTGCTGCCAGGTCAGCTGCAGAAGGTCACATGAGCATACCCAGTGCTAGCCTGTGACAGAGTGATGCAGTCAGATTCAGGTACGCCAGGGAGGTCAGCAAGAGCCAATCTTCCTTGCTGCCTGGCTAGGCCAGGACTCTTGTCCTCCCATGGGTCTGCCACACAGACGTTCTGGAGCTGTTTAGACCTTAGGAAAACACCTAGCAAGGGCAGGTTTTTGCTTTTTCCTCAAGAAAAGAGACCATTAAGAAAATTGAAAGCAGCTTCCAGTACACTTGAGTGGAAAGGGGCTCCCTGCCAGAGGCTTGCCCAAGAAAAAAGGCGTTGGGTACCTGCGTCTTCCCAGGTACCATCTCAGAGGGTGAGATCATCAAATTCAGAAGCAGAGAGTAAGGGCAGTCACAGAAGCCCCCCACAAGCCCCAGAAAAAAACAAAGTCCTTTTTGCAGTTCATTTTAAGCTTTCCTGACTGACATGGCCGGAGGATCCGACCTCTGCTCCAACCTCCTGCAGGCAGAGAGCTGGTGTGAGAAGGGCAGCTGAGCATCTTGGGACAGGTGAGCGGGCTGCCATGCCTCTGCTTCCAAAGAAAGGCCCTGGGGCTAGGACCAAGGGGCAGTAGGTCATGGGGCTAGCGGAAGTCTGCATTGAACGCTCTGCCGATTATCAGCCGCCTCACTTCACTGGTCCCGGCTCCAATCTCATACAGTTTGGCATCTCGAAGGAAGCGGCCCATGGGGAAGTCATTGATGTAGCCATTTCCACCTACGAAGCAGATGTGAGAAGAGAAAGGACAGGATTGAAGGCTGCAAGGACAACCAACAGAGAGCCAAGGAGTCATTCCCTAGCATCTTCAGGGATTGGTTCCGGTCCATATAACTTACGTGCATTCTCCCAATACCGGGTCTATTCTTTCTCCCTCTCTCCCTCTGTGCTAAGGATTGAGTATGGACTTCGCACACACTAGGCAAATGCTCTACTACTGAGTTATAACCCCAGTTCATATTTTAAATATCTCTAGGATATATGTACACACACACACACACATACACACACACAGAGACACACACATTGGCATAAGTGCCATTTAAGTAGTTGTTATATTGGAATGTTTATGGAATCATGACAAGAGAAAAAGTCTATGTTCAGCTCAGGTGCAATTTCCCTTTTTTACATTTATTTATTTATTTTGTGTGTATGCATATGCTTGTCTATCTTGACATGGATGTAGAGGTCAGAGGACAATGTGTATCAGTTTTCTCCATTAACCATGTGGGTCCTGGGGACCAAACTCAGCTTGCCAGGCAGCAAGAGCCATTACCCACAGAGTCATCTTGCTGGTTCTTTTTTTCAGTGCTTGCAAAATCCCAAGCCACTGATACAATTTTCTTTTCTGAACATTTCCTTCCTTCCTTCCCTTCTCCTTTTTGAGACAAGGTCTGTCATATCCTAGGCTGACCCCCAACTCACAAAATAGCCAAAGATGACCTTGAACTTCTGGTCCTCTTACCTCTAACTTCCTGAGTTCTGGGATTATAGGTGTGTGCCATCTGTGATCTGGTTAATACGGTGCTGGGGTGTTGTTTTGTGTATGCTTGGCAAGGATATTACACTGAGCTATGGCCCAGGTTGACCAAGAAGTTACTGTGTAGCCCAGGTTGGTCTTAGTCTCTTTGTAATCCTTCTGCTTCAGTTTCTCAAGTGCTGGGATTAGAGGTGTGCACCCCATGCCCAGGCACTTCTGAATATCGCTGATTATTGGCTGGACCAGAAGAACCCCAGGATATATAGGCTCTGGGCAAGGACTGATCAAAGAGAAGCAGAGGCAATGACAGAACCTTGTTGGGGTCGGGAAGGCACGGGAGAGCTGGTCTAGAAGATCTCCCAGAGTGCTGAGGACCCAGACAAGGAAAGGATGAAACCTGGCTGGAGTGTAGAGAGCCCACCTAGCATGCCCCAAGTTCTGGACTCAGTCCCCAGCACCACACAAACCAGGCGTGGTGGCGCATGTCTATAATCCCAGTGCTCTGGAGGTAGAGGCAGGAGGATTGTAAATCCCAGGTCATCCTCAGCTGCATGACATGCCCACGTACCCAGCACCCAACTTTAAAAAACAAAACACAGAATGAGTGGCAGATGTAGGCAAGTGAGATGGGATTCAGACCTAAGCCAACTAGGAATGATGCTGCCCCACCTGAGGAGTCTCTGTCCCCATTTCCTGGTGGCCTTAGACCAGTCAGTGAAGATAAGGAATGCTTGTAGCCTCCAACCTTTTATTTTTCCCTTTATTTTTCTTTTTCTTATTTGTTTATTTTTTTGGGGACAGGGTCTCTCTGCGCAGCCGTGGCTGTTCTGGAACTTGCCCTGTAGACCTTGAACTCACAGAGATTTGTCTGCTTCTGTTGCCTGAGTGCTGGGAGTAAAGCTGTGCGACGCCACCCCCCCCCCCCAGTGTTTTTTTCTTTTTTTTTTTTTTTTCCTCTTAAAAAATTGGTTTTATGCATAGGGTGTTTTGCCAGCATGTCTGTCTGTATACCACATGTGTACCTGGTCCTTTGGAAGAGAAGCCAGAGCTATGTCTCTGGGCCACACCCCCTTTAAAACAAAAAAAGATCCATTTATTTACTGACTGCCATTACAAAAAATTCCCTGGGGGAAGACAGAGCCTAGGGGTATCTGTGTGGCTGTGGCCAGCTGAAGCAGAGAGAGCAGAAAGGGATCCAGGAGTGCAGAGTGAGGGCCACTCACCAAAACACTGAATGCCGTCCAGGGCTACCTGTGTGGCACACTCGGCTGCATACAGAATCACACCGGCACAGTCCTGTGGGATGAGGCGTTGCTCAGCAGGGACCAGACAAACATACAGGCACCCATCCCGATAGTTACCCACTAACCCACCTCTTCTTCCCCCACAGTTGGCCCTCACCTTGGCAATGATGTGGCCTTCATCACAGGCCTTGGCAACATTGTAGACATACTGCCGACAAGCCATGAGGCGGGTGTACATGTCAGCCATCTTTCCCTGCATCAGCTGGGCACAAAGGGAGGCCATGGGTCAACATGCTGGTATACTCTAATTACTAAAAGCAGGTCAATGGCAAGGACAAGCTGAGGAACCAAGGGCACAGAGAGGAGATGAGACTTGCCTAGGACAATGGAGATAGATGGAAACAGCTCTAGGAGATGAGGCTAGAGAGTTGCCTCCTGTGTGGCTAGCTTCCAGCAGCCTCTCCAGCAGAAGGGTGGGATTAGAAATGCAGCTCCCTTTCCCCTAAACTCAAATGTCCTGTGTGTTTTACCCTCCAGCCTTGCAGTGTCTAGTTCAGTCATCTCAAATAGGAACAGGCAGGACAATGTGACTGACGAACCTCCCAAGCCGGGTGGAATGTGAAAGTCGCTGCATCCTAACAATTCAAGCCCCTTTCGCCAGAGGACAGTAACCCACAACGAATGCATGACTACCTCATCTCCTTTAGTCCAGGGAGAGGACATTTTAGCACGTGTTCCCCTTACCTGGAATTGGCCGATTTTCTGGCCAAAGGCTTCCCTTACATGCAAATAGGGAATGGCGTGGTCCAGGACAGCCTGCATGATCCTGCCAGAGAGAAGAAAGACACTATGGGGGTGTGATGTCAAGTGGGGTGAAAGAGTGTCGGAGGATTAGGCCTGAGAGTTGAGGTGGAGGATAAGGAACTGAAGTCCCCGAGAAAAGATAAAGGGACCTGAGGAACTCCCTGCACAGTGACAGCACCACCTGTCCAGCCCCCAGGCACCTTCCTCAGAGATCAAGTGGGTGTGGTGGGGCAGCAGGCAAGAGTTGGGGCTTCTTGTTTCACAGCTCCACTGACTAAGCAGTTGCTTTCAGGCCTCACCTGCCATCTGTCACATAATGACATTTTCCTCTGCGTGAAGAGATTAAATATAGGAGGAGATTCTCAAGACAGAGGACAGCCCACAAAGTAGCTTCCTTTGTGCCTCCCCTCCCTGTCGGGGGAGGCTGCTAACCTAACAAGGCTGGCGAGCTCACGTTGCCCGGAACCTCACACTCGTGCAGAGGTCTATGGGCTTCCTCTTAAGCCTCACACTGGTGACGCTTTGTGCTTGCCCAGGAGGCCAACAGCCCCCTCACACTTACCCAAGGGGTCCACCCGCCAGCACCAGGCGCTCTAGGTCCAGCCCGCTCATCAATACGTAGACACCCTTACTCTCTTGGCTCAGGATATTAGCAGCTGCCAGGATAAATGCCAGTTAGAGAGGACTGATCATAGTCTCTTCACTTTTATAAAAGGTACTGTGTCACACAAGGCACAAACGTACATTACTTGACCTTCATCACGGGTTTCAAGTGAGAGAAAAGATGAAATTTGTCGCTTGCAGTCGGAAGTGGAGCTTTCAGGACCCCACACCATCCACAACACCATAGAGCCCCAAGTTGTTAGATCTGTCCTTTCTCACCCTGGACTCCCTGGGATGGGAAAGAAGGTTTACAAGGCCCCCCGCCCCCCTTCACTTCTTTCTACACCTGATGTCTACTTATACAGAAATCAGAGAACTCATCACCCCGAGGTGCCCACGGTTCGGGGTCACCTCTCAGCAACGTCCATGAAAGTGGCTTTGTCTATGAGTTAGGGTGATAGTGACAGCAGCCGATGAGCAACTACCCCCCTAATAAGGACTTGGGAGATATGGGCAGACATTTACTGTAGAAACTTGACAACCTAACCCGCCTTTAAGGCTGGTGAAAGAATTTTTTTTTTTTCCTTTCTAAAAGGTTGAGTCCTTCCCGGAGACTCTTTCTGACCACAGCAAACTATTTCTGGACAGTTTATGGCTGATGCACAGAGCAGTCCTAATTCAGGTCCAGATCCCGGCCCTCAGCCCTCTCGCAGTGATACATAGTGTCACGTTCACGGTTACAGTGCAGGGGAGAAAATATTCTTGCAAAATCAAATTACCTCTCCTTCATCGAGTCTGGCTTCTGTCAATTTATTCAGAAGGGCTTTTAGCATCATTACCGAGTGTAATTCATAGTGTTGTGGTTTGGACACGAAACGGCCCCCTGTGGGCTGCTGTGCTAAGGGCTTGGTTCAACGCAGCAGTGCTCTGAGGTGGAGTTTGGGACGTGACTGGATTGTGAAGACCGACCTAATCAATGGATTAACCCGATGATGGATTCATAATTTGATGGCATTAATGAGAGACAATGGAAACAGAGACAGAGCCTCCAGGAAAAACTGGCCACTGGGGTGTGTGTCTTTGATCTCTGCTTCTTATTCTACTTAAGTAGGTCTCCCCAGGCCATTCTTCCTCATGCTCTGGCTCACCATAGACATAGAAGCAATGGAGCCAGCGAACCATAGGCTTGACACCTGAAACCCTGAGCCAAAATAATTTTTCCTCCTTCAACACTGGCTTCTGTTGTGTTATTTATAATGGTATCAGAAAGTCAGACATATGTCAGCTGTACAGGCAATGCAAAGGAAGCCTGAGGGGCAACAGTGGACCATGGTAGGCCTTACCTTTCACCATCCTTCATTTAGGCAGGCAAGCAAACAGCAGCAGGGCCTATAGCCAGGACAGACAGCTGTCCAGTAGCTCGAGGCCCACAGTCTAGGTGCATAACACGGGACACACAATGGTAGTGGAGCTCTGTACAGTGAGATGGGCATTCCCAGCTTGCAGAGGAACCAGGACAGGGACTGCCTTAATCTCTGGACACTTACCGGGAACTTTGCAGTCTTCAAAGATTAGCTCGCAGGTATTGGAGCCTCTCATTCCCAGCTTGTCAAGCTTCTTGGAAGTACTAAAACCAGGCATACCCTTCGCAGGAAACCAAAGGAGGCCCTGGTTAGACTTGCCCCCAGGGCGGCTAATAAAGAGAAAACCACTTAACCTTTTCTGATACCTACTCAGCACACTCGCACCGACTCCCAAGTTCTCCCAAGTTCTCGCTCTGGATGCAATACGCCAGCGTTCAGGCCCCACCACTTTGTACCCAACCCCTCTGCTGCCAGCCTGCTTCTCCGCAGCTCTCAGGGGAGCAGTTCTTCCTCAATGAAATGCTCAGTCCCCATCTCTCCTCACTCTCCCAGGGACATAACTCTCAGAGCATTGGCTAGTTCCTCTGCCCCTTTTCTGTAGCCACCTGTCCCTGGAGGAACCCGACTCCAATCACCTACATGCTTTGACCAGGATACTCAGATGCACGGGTGTCACCAAGTGCCCAGGGGACGGAGCAACGGCTCATGCTGCCCCCTGCTACCTCCAGGCCTTTTCAGTTCCCATCTTAGCCATTTCCCCCACCCCTTCATGGAGTATGCTGCCAAGCTTTGAACCTTTGTAGCATTCCTCTGCGGCTGGGTCCGCAAGCCTCAGTGGCACCTGCTTTTTCTTCACCGTCATTAGGTCATTACGCAGACGGCGTGAAGCCAACATCTGCTCCCTTAACTGATAGATCTCCAACTTTTTCTAGGCTGGGGCACATGTCTATAATCCAAGCACTTGGGAGATCTCTGAGTTCAAGGGAAGCCTGGTCTATACGATAAGTTCTAGGCCAGTCAGGGCTACACAATGAGACCCCATCTTAAAAACAACAACAACAAAACAACACTCCCAACCCCCGGTTTTCTTTTCTTTATACTGCTTTCTCTATACAGTTTCCTGTTTTATTTTATTTATTTATTTATTGTTGAGACAGTCTTGCTATATAGCCCTGAGCCTCACAAGGACCAGGCTAGCCTCACACTTGCCTCTGCCTGTCAAGTGCTGCTCAGATTACAAATACGTGTCACCTTGTCTGGCTTCTGGTTTGTTTAAAACAAAAACAAAACCAAAACCAAAATGGGACTAACTCTTCATGTATCTTGTCCTTGTCATACTATTGGAGGTACAGTATCCAAATCATCATTTCAATTCCCACTCATGCCTCAGTCTCCCCCATGGCTCCTGTTCAGCTCAGTAAGAATATCTCATGGCTCCTTTTTCGATTTCTCCTTCCTTGACTCTGTGGACAGCTCTACTGTCTTCAGACTTGACTCAGTCTCTCTGGGCCTCTCTCTCTCTCTCTCTCTGGCTTTTTATTATCTAGACCAATTAAGAACTCCTTTTACACTCTTTTTTTTTTCTTTAAGTGCTGAAAATTGAACCCAGGGTCTGTACATGCTAGACAGCTAGCTGCTCTACTACTGAGCAGCTCTAACAGCACCAGAGTTGGTTTTTTTTTTGGGGTTGTCTTCTTGAGTCTTGGCTTGTCCGCCACCTCCTAGGAGCAGAGCACACAACAGTGATCTTAACCTTGACCAGCCAGAAGGAGTTACATCTGTAACTGTTGTCAGAGTTGGAAGTCTCCCTGATACAAAGGTCTACCACCCTCACCTTCTCCACAATGAAGGCTGTGATGCCCCGAGAAGCTGGCACAGCAGTCAAATCTGTCTTGGCATAGACAACAAGGACATCAGCATCTGGGCCATTGGTGATCCAGAACTTGTTGCCATTCAGAATGTAGTGATCTCCTAAGGGAGAGTCAGGGTGTAGGCTGCTTGCTGAAGTCTCCTGTCTGGGATCAGTCCACAACTGCCCCCTGCTGACAACCGGTACTGGGAACCCAGCAGGGACCACCCGCAACTGCTACCCTCTGCCTTCTCCAGCTGCCTGGGGGCAAGCGGCCTTACCTTTCTTTTCTGCTTTTAGTCTCATGGAGACTACATCAGAGCCAGCATTGGGTTCGCTCATGGCCAGTGCTCCGATGAATTCACCACTGATCAGCTACAGGGAAAACAAGAGCCGCCCAGTTAGGACCTTGGAAACACCCTGCAGGCAACTCCCCTGGCTGCCTCTTCCTGCCCACATTCTGCCCCCAGAGCAAAGTGCAGTGTCTGTCAGGCCTCTCTTTCTCCCAGTCTTTGTATGTTAAAAAAAAAACAAAAAAAAAACTATATTTTTGCTTATTTGTTCTCTGTGTTTATGTGTGCACTGCTTGTATCAAACTCAGGTTATCAAGCTTGATGACAGGTTCCTATTTGCTTTTTGAGACAGGGTCTTGCCAAATCACCCAAGCTGGGATTTGTGATCCTCTTGCTTCTGCTTCCCAAGCAGCTAAAATTCAACACAAATCACCCCATCCCTGGGTGAAAGCCCCCTCCATTTATTTATTTATTTTTGAGATAGGGTTTCTCTGTGTTGCTCCTGATGTCCTGGTGCTCACTCTGTAGACCAGGCTGGCCTCGGACTCACAGATATCCACCTGTCTCTGCCTCCTGAGTGCTGGGAGTATAGATGTGTGCCACCACCACCTGGCCAAATTTTTTTGACTTAAGTATTTCAAAACAATCTCAGTCACTTTCCTAATTATATTGAGTTCATGGCAGCAAGCCAAGAATGAAAATCTGCTTGATCCCCAACAAGGGGAGTGCATGTCAGAGAGTGGTTGTGTTGAGTCCATGTGGGTTTCTTCATCCCCATTTCCTCACCTTGGGAAGATATTTCTCTTTCTGTGCCTCATTCCCATTACGAACAATCTGGTTGACGCAGAGGTTGGAGTGGGCACCGTAGCTGAGTCCCACTGCTCCAGAAGCCCGGGATATCTCTTCCATTACCAACACATGTTCTAGGTAGCCCAAGCCAGAGCCGCCATACTGAACTGGGAGTGGGAGTGTGGGAAGCAGAAAGGCATCCAGGTTACATTGGGACACTGACAGGAATCTTTCATTAACTGGCAGAAAAATAAACCACCCTGGTAGCCATTCCAAGTTCCCTAGCAAGGCTGCCAGGCTGTTTGCCGGGGACTCTGCTTGGAAGGACATACAACTGGCTCTGCTTGCTGCTGGTGGGGAACTGAAGTTCAGAAACCATCTTCGCTGACTCTGGCTTTATCCCAGATGTCTTCAGTGAGGACAAGCAAAAACCTGAGTACCCACTCTTCCAGAAGTTACAAAAAGCAGAAGCAGATGGATGAAAGGGGTGGGTGGAAATGGGACTATGTTCAGAGCACCAAAACCAGTTACAGACTATCTATGTGCAGAAGCCTCCAGAAGGGGAGATTGGAAAAAAGACTTCTTAGTGTTTCTAACCTACCTAGTTGTGTGTTCATGCCACATGTGTACAGGTGCCCCGAGAGACCAGAGGAGGGTTTTAGAGCCCTAGAGTAATGGTTCTCAACCTGTGGGCTGCGACTTCCTTGAGAACCCTATCTCTGAAAATATTCACATTACCATTCATAACAGCAGCAAAATTATAGTTATGAAGTAGCAATGCAAATAATCTTGTGGTGTGTGGGGGTCACCACAACATGAGGAACTTTATTAAAGGGCCACAGCATGAGGAAGGTTAAGAACCACTGCCCTAGAGCTAGAGTTAAGTTGGTGGTGCTCTATATAATGTGGGTCCCAAGGACTGAACTGATGTCCTCTGGAGGACTAGGAAATGTTCTTAACCATTGAGTCATCTCTCTGGCCCCAAATGTGAGATTTTATAGCATAGCTTTGGGAACAAAGCGGGACTAGTACATATACATGTAGCACACACACACAGATGCATAAACCTGTTTGTATGTTTAGGTTGTACGGGTGCCCCCAGAGACAAGAAGAGGGTTTTGGAGCACTAGAGTAATGGTTCTCAACCTGTGAGAAGCTTATCTCCAAAAATTAAGAAAGAGAGAGAGATTTTTCTTGAAAGCTCTTCCAAAAAGTCCAAGTGTCTGGGCCCCCTGGTCCCTTATCAAAGCTGCTGTGTAAAGTCCTGTAAAAACAAGCTTGTTTGAGCTGCCCTCAGGCCAGTGAAGGAGGCATAGCCAACCGTTTCTCCAGGAAGGAAAGTAGGGAACAGAATTCCTGTCTGGCTGTCAAGACTCATCCTTCAGCTGGTGTAGGCCTATGTCCCAGCCACCTGGGAGCCAGAAGAAACACATTCAAGTCTTATCTGGCTACGGAGGGTGTTCAGGGCCAGCTAGGGCAACTTGGCCAGACCCAGCCTCAAGATAAAACAATAGGAAATGGGGTGGGGTGTTAGAAAGCTTGTCCAGCATGTGCAAGGTCTTAGGTTCAATCCCCAGTACAAACAATAGTCCTGGCTTTCTTTTCAAAGTTCCCATTTGAAAGGATTTTATCTGGCTTCTGATATTTTAAAGGCGGTCTGGAGGACAAACCTAGGGCTCCGTGCAGTGTTGACTCTTGCCAGTAAGCTATACTCCTGCCCCAGATTTTTTTTTTTTGTTCCTTTTTTCCACTTTTCTTCTCAAACGTCTGCTCTTCCTGCCTTACTTCCAAGTGCTGGGATTACAGGCACCACCCTAGCACGTTGGGGACAGGCATTTTAGCAACTGAGCCCCATCCTTAGCTTCCCCTCAGGGTCTCATACACCTCAGGGTGGCCTTGAACCTCCAACCTTTCTACCTCTATCTCTCAAGTACTGGGTTACAAGTGTTTATCACATAGCCTGAATTCAGCCCATTGATTTTAAATTGCTTCTTTGTCCCATCAAATTTATTTTGATTCAGAAACATATTATGCTGTGCTGGTTCATAAACCATCAAAGCACAAAGAGAATCTTGTTTGGAGGTTCCCAATAGGACCTCCCCCAAAACTCCCTTACATTGACATGGTTTAAATGAATCATTACCCAGTTTCCTTATATCACCATTCATGTAACTCTCCAGGGTCAACTCAAACCTCAGGATCTACATTACTCCAGGAGGATATAAGGTGAAATATACAGACACTCATCAAACCAACACCTATATGCTTGGTTTCCAGACCCATCCCTGATATCAAATCCATACATCCTTTCCTAAATAATATGGCTATATAATTTATGCACACCTGCCCAACCCTCGAAATCCCCTCTTATTACTCATTATGTAAATAGTGCATGCTTTATACAAATAGTTATTAACTTCCCCCTTTATTTGACTTTATGCACACACATAGGTGCTTGCCTGCATGTATGTATGTGTATCATGTACATGCTTGGTGCCCTTGTTTGACAGAAGACCCCCTGTAACTGGAGTCAATGGAGAGCCATGAGCCACCATGTGGGTGATGGAAGGTGGGTCCTTTGCAAGAGCAACAAGTGCCCTTCACCACAGCCATCTCTCTAGCCACATCCCTTTTTTGAGCCAGGATCTTAGCTCTGTAGTCCAGGTTGTCTTTGGACTTCAGTCTTTCTGCCTTAGCCTTCCAAGTATGGGAACAGAAATAGTTGCTCTACTGGGCAGTGGTGGTGCACACTTTTAATCCCAGCACCCAGGAGGCAAATTCTGGTGGATCTCGGAGTTTGAAGCCAGCCAGGTTCACAGAGGGAGTTCCAGGACAGCCATAGCTATATAGAGAAACCCCATCTTGAAAGGAAAGAAGATGGGAAGGAAAGAAAGAAGGGAAGGAAGGAAGGAAAGAAGGAAAAGAAGGAAGGAAGGAAGAGGCTAGAGAGCTGGTTCAGAGGTTAAGAGCACCGGCTGCTCTTCCAGAGGACCTGTGAGTTCTGTTCCCAGCAAACACATGGTGGCTCACAGTCATCTATGGTGGGATCTGATGCCCTCTTCTGGCATAAAGGTGTATATGCAGCTAGAGCAGTCATATATATGAAATAAATAAATCTAAAAAAGAAAAATATATCTATATAAAAAAAGAATCGTTCTTTAATGTTTAGAAAAGATGAAAGTCCAGAAGGCAGTCGTGCTGATGCCTCAGGAATGGCTGGATGAGGAGGCCAATAGCTCATGCATTCATTGTCATGGCAACCCAGAACCAGAATGTATTGGCTCCCTGCCTGTCCCCCCCCCCCCCACAACAAGCTGTAGCACACACAGGGAATATTAGGAAGGCCAAGAGCCCACTAAAACCCAAAATCACCTTATCTGAGGACCCAGACATCTCATAGTCCCATTTCATTTGAGGACAAGCTGTTATCAGAGGACTCAGGGATATACTTTTCCTAAAAATTCCCACTTATAAGCCAGGTGGTGGGAGCACACACCTTTAGTCCCAGCACTTGGGAGGCAGAGGCAGGTGGGTCTCTATGAGTTCTAGGCGAGCCTGGTCTATCAATCGAGATCCAGGACAGGCTCCAAAGCTACAGAGAAACCCTGTCTTGAAAACCAAAAAGATTCCTACTTACAGACCACTAGTGAGACAGAGCTCAGGAATCACTGAGGGAACACTGATCTACTAGGGTATGCAGATCCCATAGGATGCCAGGCTCTCACTAAATCTTCGAGTCAAGAGTCTGAGAGATTCTGCCTTCTTGCCATCACTAATGATTATGTCTTCTCTGGGCTCAGCCAATGGGTGCTGCCTCAGGTTCAAGGATGAGACGTTCTTTGGGAATGATTGTTTCTTCTCTTCTTATCTGGTTGTTAATTTGTGTGTGCATATGAGTGTACGTATGTGTTTGTATGTGTGATGTATGTGCACATGTGTGTGAGTTCACACTCCTGTATACATGCATGGAGGCCAGAGGAAGATATCGGCACCCTCTTGTGACTCTCCACCTTGTCCTGTTTTATTTTATTTACTTGTTTATTTTTTTGTTTTTCAAGACAGGGCTTCTCTGTGTAGCCCTGCTTCTGCTTCCCAAGCAGCTGATACTCTCTCTACATATGTCACAAGTTACCACATCCTTGAAGTGAAGAGCCACCTCCTTTTTTTTTCCAAGACAGAATTTCTCTGTGTAGTCCTGGCTGTTCTGGAACTCAGAATTGTGCCTGGTTCAGCTTCCTGAATGCTGGGATTAAAGATGTGTTCCACCATGCCTGGCTTACCTTGTTCCTTTTGAGATAGGGTCTCTCACTGAACCTGGAAGTGTTTTTTGGCTAGACTAGTAGCCAGTGAGCCCAACAAGTCCAAGCAAGCCTCCAGTCTCAGCCCCCCCCCCCCAAGTCAGTTCTGGGATTATAGGCATTGGGTGGGACAGGCCTTGATTTTAAACAGTGCTGAGTTCTGAGCTATGATCCTCATGGTCACATAGCTCTTCTTAGCTTGAACCTTCTCTATAGCCCCTGTTTTTGTTTTTCTGAAACAGAAAAACTGTAGGCCAGGCTGGCCTACAACTAACTGTATGGCTCAGGCCGGCCTTGAACTCAGAGAAGTCCTCTGGTTTCAGGCCCCTTGTAGGGCCCTGCATGGACCCCGAGGCATCTTGAGCAAGCCTGAAGCTGTTGGCTGGAACTCCTTGATCCAAAGCTGTTGTTGGTACTCTTCCCGTTTTGATAACACACACCTCGTGATATCACACCCCTCGTGGGGAGGAGCTAAGCCTAAAAATCCTGTTATTTTCCACTGTGCTGTCAGTCAGTATTTAAGCCTGTTCCATCCCCTCAATAAACAGCATTCGGCATTCTGACATAGCAGTTGAACGAATGACCTGCTGTCTTGTCTCTTTATTTCAATCTCTAGGCCTTCACCCAATTCGTGGGAACAGATCATAACTCGGGCACTACAAGCGGAGGTCCCACCGAGATCAGGGAAAGAAAAGATCACCTAAGAGATCGCCCTCAGAGGCCAGCCAGCAAAGTAAGTGAATGAGGGTATATTGAAGGGTGGGTGCCAGTAACTCTTAAGGAAATTCTCAGTGGGCAATCAGTGGCCCTATTGAAAAGGCAGGGCACTGGAATTAAAACAAGACAGCTAAAGAATTCATTGCCATAAAGTAAAAGAAAAAATGGCAGAGATGATTAGAACTTTTGAGGAAGTACAAGATTTAGAATCTGAAAGCAGAATTTGAACAATTAAAACAGAATTTTTGAAGCTTATGAACACAAATGCCATCTTGTATGTATGTATGTTCTGTATTATGGTGTGACCACACAAACATGTGTATGAAGTGTGATTATGAATGTGTGAATCCTAACAAAAAGTACTATTTGAATTGCTTGGAATCTTAATTGAAAGGGTTGACAATTTGTGCCTACCACACCTGGTCTCCAGAGCGGGTCAGCAGGAAATGGCCAAAGCCAGCATGGCTTAAGAGCCAAAGGAATCTGTATGGGTGATTCAATAGCCTTTAGCACAGAAATGTGAACTGCCGTGACTCCAGAATGTAGTACTCAGTTTCTTAAATGGTCAGATGATGAAGAACATACAGTTCTTTTTCAACCTTTTGTGTTAAGTCATATCCCTGTTAATCTTTGGGGAAGAGATGTGCTTCAGGCCATGGGAGTGGTCCTTACTACTGAGCCTGTTAAAAATATGCTAGCTGACCAAGGTTATGTACAAGGAAGAGGACTGGGTAAATTCCTCCAAGGTGACCCTCAGTCTGTTGAATCCAAAAACTTAATTATCAAAAGAGCCTGAGATCGCTCTGGGTTGGGAAATTTTCCTTAGGGGCTATTGATGTGCAGCCTGTTCCCATTCCTATTATCTGGAAAATTGATAACCCAGTATGGGTGGAGCAATAGCCCTTATCTATTGAGAAATTACAGGCTGCACATAAACTTGTACAGGAATAATTAGAGGCAGGACATACTGTTCCTTTCACTTACTTCTCCATGGAATATGCCAATTTTTGTTGTAAAGAAAAAAATCTGGAAAATGGAGACTCCTACAAGATCTCCAAGCTGTTAATGATTGTATGCAAATTATGGGAGCCACACAACCTGGCTTACCTTCCCCTGTAGGCATTCCTCAAGGCTATCATATATTAGTTATAGACCTAAAGATTGCTTTTTTACCATTCCATTGCATCCTCAGGATAGTGAGCGATTTGCATTTAGCATTCCTTCTGTTAATTTTAAAGAGTCCTATAAGAGATATCAATGGGTGATGTTGCCTCAAGGAATGGCCAATAGTCCCACTATTTGTCAAATTTATGTATCTTTGGCCATTGCTCCCATTAGGAAGAAATTTCAATCCCTGTATATTACACATTATAGGGATGATATTCTTTTAGCAGGCCCAGATCCTTCAACTAGCTGGCTTAAGAATAGTCCCAGAAAAGGTACAACAAGAATTTCCCTATCAATACCTGGGTCATCAATTGTCATATTCTGGTATCTGTCCTCAGGAGATTACTTTAGGGCTGGATAGACTGACCACACTTAATGATTATCAAAAATTATTGGGAGATATAAATTGGGTTTGATCTAGTTCGGCCCTAACCACTGGGCAGCTTAGACCCTTACTTGATATTTTACAAGGAGATTCTGATCCCACTTCTCCGTGCACCTTAACACCTGCTGCATGAGAATGCATACAACTTGTGCAAAAATGCCTCCAATCTGTACATTTAAATTATATTGACTAGTCTCAAAACTTGATGTTATTAGTTTTTGCTTCAGCATATTTCTATATGGTCCTATATTATAGGTACATGAACATACATCCCCAGGAAAGACAGTTAGATCTTATCCCCAGGCAATGTTTTCCATTATTCAAAAGGCATACAAAATGAGTCTTCAAGTTTTTGGCAAGATCCCTAATGTAATTGTCACTCCCTATATTCAAAAACAGATACAATGGCTTCAACAGTTCAATGATGATTGAGCAAATTTCTTGTGTTCCACACCCTGCCACTTTGATAGTCATTTTCCTTCTGATAAATTAGCTCATTTTTTAAAAAATCACCCTGTGTGTTTTCCCAAGATTATTCCCAAAAATCCTTTGAAGGGGCAATGTATTTACAGGCGGCACCTCCAATGGTTGTGCAGTTGTTTACACTTAAAGTGAAGTCTGCACAATTTGCAGAACTAGGTGCAGTACAATTAGCCCTTCAACATTGTTCTGATGAGCCGTTTAACTTATACACAGACAGTAAATATGTGTATCCTATATTGGCCCCCTTAGAAATTGCTGCCTACATAGCTCTGGTCTCTCGTGTATAGGAACATTTACTAGCCATACAGTGCCTACAATGGAGGCACTCTCATCCAATTTTTGTAGGACATCTCCAAGCACATTCTGGTTTACCTGGCCCTTTGAGTGAAGGAAATGCCATTGCCCATTTTAATACTAAAACAGATAGTGACGTGATGATGATGATGATAGAGTCTGGTTATGAAGCAGCCTGCAAAGCTCATACAATCTTTCACCTTAATGCAGGCTCATTTAAATTCCATCTTAAAATTACTAGAGACCAAGCTATTAATATAGTTAAGAATTGTCCCTATGTGCAGAGTTCTTACCTGTTCCACACCTTGGAGTTAACCCCCGGGGTGTCAGGCAGAAGGATGTTTCCCATGTTCTTCCTTTGGTCGACTACAGTTTGTTCATGTATCTGTGGATGCCCATTCTCATCTCATATTTGCCTCTGCTCATACTGGAGAAAGGCTTAAGGATGTTAAGAGCCATTGTTTACAAGCCTTTCCTTATATGAGAATGCCCAGAAAATTAAAAACTAATAGTGGCCCTGCTTATACTAGTCAGGGTTTCAATTCTTTTTGCAAAAAAAATTTTTTTAATCTCACATAAGACAGACTTTCCTTACAATTCTCAGGGTCAGGCCATGGTGGAACGTGCACATCGCACAATTAAAGCCTATCTTCATAAAACAAAAAAAGGGGGAATTTACAGGGTCTCCTCATAATCACCTTTCACTTGTCCTTTATATTTTAAAATTTTTAACTATTGATGGTGCTGCTTGATCTGCAGCTGACAGGCATTGGCGCCCTTGGTCATCTGACTATGGCTCAGTTATGTGGAAGAATGTCAATACTGGACAATGGTGTGGCCCTGACCCAGTTCTAGTATGGGCTCGAGGGTAGGTTTGTGTCTTTCCACATGACACAGATACCTGTTTGGGTGCCTGAGCATCTGATTCACCATATGGGGAGGGACTGTGATTGTAGCAGCCAGAAAGAAGGTCTCATGGGCCTTCATCAAGAATCTACCCATTCTGATGCCTGTGGGTCTGAGTAGCTCTATGTGGCCCTTTTTCCTGACTAATTATAGTTTGGATCAAGCAGCTATAAATTTACACTTTGATCCAAAGGATTAGAATTTCACCTGCATCTCAGGCACTTGTATTCTGGGTCCCTTCTTTTTTTGTTGTAACTTTTTTTGTTGTAACTTTTTTTGTTGTAATTTTGGAGGAAGTTTCAATTGTTCTCAGTAGGTCTGGTTAGCTGCTGGACATATGAAGTAACAGCTGTCGTGGGCCATGTACCCCAGCCAGGTAGTACCTATGCCAGAGACCTCTACAGATGACCAACTTGTGCAGCAGAAAGGAAAGGAGATTTTGGGATCGTGGCTGCCAGTGCCACCTCTGCCACTGAAGCAACAGTTTCTAGGATAGCCCTCTCCCAGTCTGTAAATACTGCAAGCACGGTGGATCAACTATCAGGTGATTTCGCTGAAGCCTTAGCCACCCAAAACACACTTGATTATCTAGTACAAATTGGCATTTTAAAACTAAATTTACAAACTGTGAAAGGCTATGGCTTCTCTCTCTTTCACACATATCTGTGTTAATGCATCATTTTTCTCCAGGGATCCTGGAGTGACCAATTTTTAAATTATACACATGCTTTAGCCATGAAGATCATTAACATCAATGAAAACTGAGTACCACCTGCCAGTGTAGAAGACCTTTTACAAGGACTTCAACTTGCGGGCAGATTGCTGGGGTTCGTAGCCCTTGCACTTGGCACTACTTCGACATAGCATTAGACAGGCCCAGGCCAACTTTCACACAAGACAGATTCTACTGTCTTTGGCTCAAGAGAAAAGCCCCTGCCCACATGTGGCTGACAGACAAACTATTCACCAGAGACAGGTAAGGCAGAAGGGGGCAAATATCCAACTTAAACCAGGAGGGTTATGGGCCTGGGTGACTTTTCCAATGATGGGTAAGGAATTATGCTGACATCCTCTGCCACCTAAGACAGGTGTTAGTTTATATTAAAAGAAAGGGGGACCTGTAGGGCCCTGCATGAACTCCCAAGGCATCTTGAGCAAGCCTGAAGCTGTTGGCTGGAACTCCTTGCCCCAAAGCTGTTATTGGTACTCTTCCCGTTTTGATAACCCACATCTTGTGATAACACACACCTCGTGGGGAGGAACTAAGCCTAAAAATCCTGTTCCATTCCCTCAATAAACAGCATTCGGCATTTGGCATTCCGACATTGCCATTGAACAAATGACCCGCTGTCTTGTCTCTTTATTTCAATGTCTAGGCCTTCGCCCTATTCGTGGAACAGATTGTAGTGCGGGTGATGCAGCCCCTAAATGTTGGGATTACAAGAATGTGCCATCATGCCCACTTCCCTTTCTTCCTGTTTTGGCAACAGAGAAAGCTCTCTTTAGGGAAAGAAGCCATACTCACCAGGGGCTGTGATGCCCAGTACTCCCAGGCTCCCCAGCTGCTTCCAGAACTCCTGTGAACAGAATAGAGTGGGGAGAATCTCAAGAGGACCAAGCCATTCAGAGAAAGCAGCTACACTCTCAGGGAGGCCCCTCTTCCCTTACCCTAGTAAGCTCAACTCACTGCTGCTTCAGAAGCTTCCACCCCCACCCTCAACCTTGCAACTCACTCTCAGGTCCTTGAACTCGTTGCTCTGGTCAATCTCCTGGGCCTTGGGAGTCAGGTTCTCATGGAGGAACTTAGATATAGTCTGACGAAGCTAGAAGAAGCGAGGGAGACAGGCTTCTGAAACTAAGACACGATTGTCACTGAGAGCAATGTCCCTCCTTCTGGTTGAAAGCATATTCAGGTGGCTCGGCCACAGGTACTCTTACCAGGTAGCATCAGGTTGAGGCTTAGGGGTGCCACCGAAATATGCTTCCTTAGGGCGACAGAGAGGAGGGAGCCTCAACTGAGAAAAATGGCTCTGTGAAGAACTTGGGAGGCAGAGTCAGGCGGATCTCTGTGAGTTTGAGGCCAGCCTGGTCTCTAGAGTGAGTTCCAGGACAGGCTCCAAACCAGTACAAAGAAACCCTGTCTCAAAACAAACAAACAAATCCAGCCTCTTAAAATCCAAAGTCTCTGACACCACTGCCCTGTCTGAAACTGGATATTTCTAAAGAGACAAATATGAAGTGTTTGAATTTGTTAAGGCTATGGGACTATTTACATTACCATTTACATTTTACATTGTAAAGTGTTTTATATTGTGATCTTTATTTAATGTGTAATGTTGGGGATAAACAAGAGAAGTTGTGGCTTAACATTGATGTGTTTGTATCAAATTGGCAGGGGTCAGTTGTGCTGGCTAGTTTTGTGTCAATTTGACACAAGCTAGGGTCAGAGGGGAGGAAGCCTCAATTGGAAAAATGCCTCCATAAGATTGGCTGTAGACAAGCCTATAGGGCAGTTCTTTTTCTAAAGTAAGTTATTTATTCTTATTTTCTGTGCATTGGTGTTTTGCCTGCATGTATGTCTGTGTGAGGTGTCAGATCCCTGGACCAGGTATTACAGACATTTGTGAGCTGCCATATGGGTACTGGGAACTGAATCTGGGTCTTCTTTCTGGAAGAGCAATCGGTGCTCTTGACCACTGAGCCATTTCTCCAGCCCTGACATTTTCTAAATTAGTAATTGATGGGGGAGGGCACAGCCCATTATGGGTGGGGCCATGGCTGGTCTTGGATTCCATAAAAAAGCAGCCTGAGCAAGCCATGAGGAGCAAGTCAGTAAGTGGTACCCTCCATGGCCTCTGCATCAGCTCCTGCCTCTCAGTCCCTGCCCTGTTTGAGTTCCCGTCCTGATGTTCTTCAGTGATACACTGAGGTGTAGAAGTTTAAGCCAAATAAAAACCTTTCCACTCCAAGTTGCTTTTGGTCATGGTGTTTTATCACAACAATGATAATCCTACCCCAGACTTGCTGCCTTTGCAGATGACCTAGGTTCGATTCCCAGCACGCACATGGAGGACACCCTCTTCTAATCTCTGCTAGCACCAGTTAGGCACATGGTGCACACGCATACTTTCTGGCAAAACACATGTACACATAAAATAAGTAAATCTAAAAATAAGTTAAAAAGGCAAACGAGCTAACCAGCAAGCATCCAACTCCTTTATTAACATAGGATGGTAGGTACAGAGACGAAAATGACACTCCATATGAACATTAACATGCCAGATGCTTAAAAACATGACTGGGGAAGTTACACCCTAAAAGTATGTTTTCCCTAAAGATATGAATGGAATCATTATTTTCTAGGTCATAGGTAACAAGACAACACTAAGACGGGCTGGCTGTGGAATAACAAACAAGCTGGGACCGTAGAATCCCAGATTATGACAGTGTTCTGTCCTGGGGTTTCCAGACTCTTCCTCCACCTAGGGTGACATTTATAGTAACATGTGCCCTTGTACACATCCGACTCAGATACACGATGTGGGAGGCAATCACTCCTTAGTACTTTTATTAGGCAACCTATAGCAATTGCTTAATATATACACTGCCAGGAGTGGAGTCATCCCAGGAAACGATCCATTGGCTTTATTTAGAGAAAACAATCTTAAAACCAGCAATAAGAGTGGATAGGTAATCTGTGTGAACACATCTTTCAAGGTCTTGTTCAGCTTTGTGCTTTAGGCCTCGATGAAGGGAAGAAAGGAAACTAAGGGTGCATCATTTCAGAATTCTTTAAGTTGTCCACTCAAGAAACAATCCTTTGTTGTCCACGGGCTAACCAAAATCTCAACCATAAACTGAGAAACGCAAAACCTGGTGTGGTGGCCCACACCTTTAATCCCATCACTCTGGAGGCAGAAGCAGGAGGATTAATAGAGGCCAAGCTTGATCTACAAGGCAAGGCAAAGCTATGCTGATGGAGACCCCAGCAAAGGGGATAGATAACATTTAGAGAACCGGTTGGAGTCTGAGCTGACACATGATTGCCACTAGAAGCAGGGCCAACCAATTCCCCCTAACCCCCAACCCCTTCAGCCTCCCGGGAACTTTGGGTCTTACTTTCCTATCTCCTTCTAACAGCCCTGCCTTGCTGTCTGTCTCAAATCTCCTCTTTAGAGATAAGGATGAGTCAGAGGCTTGGGCATTTGCTAAGAGCAGGGAGCAAGCAGTCCTTCACTCTGGCTTCCGAGTGACGGTCCCAAGGCCCGGCAGGCACAAGTCACTTGTGGGGTGGGACATGAGGCCTTGGGGCGGCCCTCCCTACCTGCTTCTGCTCCTCGTTTAGCCCGTTGATAGCATCGTCCACAGGCAACAACGAGTGAGCTCGCTGCGGGACAGCGAGGAGCGATGGTCGCAGCCTCCAACTGGACACCCGTCGCCCCAGCAGCCGGATCACAGTCGCCATCTCTGCCTTGCACAAGGAGCTTGGGCTGCATTAGCTCCACCAATCCTAGTCTCATAACTCTGCTCAACTGGAAGGGGGTGGGGCTCCAGCAGCCAATCATACTCGGAGGACAGCCGAGGGCTTTGCTGCTCTTGCAGCCACGGGAGCCAATCAGCCGTGAGGCGGTAGCCTTCCTTGGCTCCAGGGATTGCCGCCTCCGGTACTTTCTTTCCTAAGCGTCTTTTCTGGATCCATAATATAGTATCTCGTGCTGAGAGTGTAACTTTTAACTGCAGAAGATTATCTTAGTGGGAAAGTAAATACTCCAATACAGGGCGGTCCGAGCGCCTAGTTTGGAGGAATAAACTGTCCCCAACAGATCCAGGTTAGCGAAGATGTGTAAAAAATCTCTTGTTCTTATTGTGTAACAGGTTTTGGTTCTTGCTGTCCTCCAGATTATGTAAGGACGTTTTCTCGACAGCGCAGGAAGGGAAGAGCGGTGTTTGAGGTCCCCTGAAAAAGCCACATGTGTGAAGATTCTACAGACTGATTAAGAACGTTCTGATTGTGGAGATTGGGTTAGTGCAGATTCTCAGCCAAAATTAAGGAGGTGGCTGCAGAGATGATTCTGTGGTTTACAGCATGTGCCGCTCTGCCAGAGGACCTGAGTTCAATATCTAGGACCCACCTCTACACAAGCACCTGTATACACTTACACACATATACATAAACTATTACAAATATGTCTTTAAAAATTATCTTGGAAAGCCGGGCGTCGGTGGCACATGCCTTTAGTCCCAGCACTCTGGAGGCAGAGGCAGACAGATCTCTGTGAATTTGAGGCCAGCCTAGTCTACAGAGCTAGTTCCAGGACAGGCTCCAAAGCAATACAGAGAAACCCTGCCTCTGTAGCTAGACATGGTGAGGCACATCTGTCATCCCAGTACTTGGGAAGCAGAAAGATAAAATGTTTGAATGTATGAGGCCAGCCTAGGCTATATAGTGGGATCTCTGAAACAACACAGACTTGGAAAAAAGAAAGCTACAACTGTGTTGTATTGTGGAAGCTAAGGCAGGGAATAGGTGATTTCAAGAAGGGATTGAAGGCTGATGGGATGGCTGGGGACACAGCTTGCTGTAGATACTTGCTTAGTATGCATGATCCCCAGCACCATGTAAATCGGTTGTGGTGGCAGGTGCCTATATATAATCCAAGTAGCTGGGAGGCAGAGGCAGGAGGGCCAGAAGTTCAAGATCATTGCTGTAGGGCCCTGCACGGACCCCCTGAGGCATCTTGAGCAAGCCTGAAGCTGTTGGCTGGAACTCCCTGACCCAAAGCTGTTGTTGGTACTCTTCCCGTTTTGATAACACACATCTCAGGATAACACATACCTGGTGGGGAGGGGCTAAGCCTAAAAATCCTGTTATTTTCCACTGTGCTGTCAGTCAGTATTTAAGCCTGTTCCATCCCCTCAATAAACAGCATTCGGCATATGGCGTTAGGACATTGCCACTGAAAGAATGACCCGCTGTCTTGTTTCTTTATTTCAACGTCTAGGCCTTCGCCCGATTCGTGGAACAGATCGTAGCGCGGGCACTACACATTGCCACATAGTGAGTTTGGAGTCAGCCTGAGCTACATGAAATCTCTGCTGAGGAGGGTTCCAAGACTGCCAAGCTTTATTGACAGCTTAACTGACCACCAAGGGTCATGACCCGATTTAGCCACAAGCTAGAAACCATGAAGGACAAAGTGTACCAGCTCTCTCACACTTGGAAGATCACCTATCTGCCTGTAGCAGCCTGTGTTTCTTCAGCTGCCAAATGAGGCCTGCCCTGTCTGCAGGCCCTTGGACCAACCTGAACAAACCTGTGATGGTTTGGAGCACTGCCCTCCCCCCCTTCCCCAAATAACAGTGTTCTCACAATTGGCTTAATGAGAAGGAAAGAAAGAAAAATCAGTTCAGGAGTAGGGGGAGGGAGATAGGGATGGAGAGAGGGCTCGGGAGGGAGCGGAGCAACTTATTTTATGAAGTCAGTATAAAAATGATACCAAACTGGGCAGTGGTGGTGCACTCCTTTAATGCCAGCACTTGAGAGGCAAAGGCAGGTGAGTTCGACGCCAGCCTGTTCTACAGAGCTAATTCCAGGACAAGCTCCAAAGCTACACAGAGAAACCCCGTCATGAAAAAAAAAATCACAAGAAAAAAATAATACAGGTCAGTATTTCTCATGAACAGACATAAATTAGAAAAACCACATATAAGAATATTGCATCTAATGTTATGCAAAACAGGTAATAGTCAATCCTGATGAGGGGAAAATTCTGAATCGTTCAAAATTTAATTTCAGGGATCAAAGGGCAGAGGGAGGAGATAAAACAAGTTAATTAGTTAGCAGCTGCAGGTAAAACTAACCAAGTCATGCTGAAACCTTAAAAGTTATCACAGCTGATTGGTGGAGCCTCTGCAGCTGGCTAACTGCAAATCTTATGAACGCAGAAGATCCGCCTCTGCCTTCGAGGCCAGAGAGAAGGGTGGGGAGAAGGCTCAGTGGCCGAGACTGTTTGCTGCTCTTCCTAGAGGACCTGAGTTCTATTCCTTGCACTCAAAGGGCAGCTCACAATGGCCCGTGACTCCAGTTCCAGCGAATCCTAGGCCTCCAGCATTCTAGAATGCTGCTCTCATGTGTGTAGGTTATTTTGCTTTTTTAAAGACAAGGCTTAGAAGAACATACTTTTAGCTTGGATGCCATAGACATTTTTCAACTGTTACCCACCTTTGCTGTTGCTGGTGGCCCAGGCTGGAGAGGCCTCAGAGACAGAGGTGACACAGAGACCTCAACCTACTGTTTCTAGGCTCGTGTTTGAACTCCTAGTAGAAATGAAGATATTCAAAAGAGACACAAAGGTTCTGAAGAACTTGGATCTACCTAGGAATCTCCTGCTTGGAGAGAGAAGGAAAAAGCTGATGCCTGGTGCCAGGGTGTAAGGAACTTGTCTTCCAGAAAGGTTCCACATAGTTCTGAAAACTTGTCTGACTACCTTGAAGAGAAAACTGGAGCTGATACTGACGGTGGGCAGGACCACACCTTGGCCAGAACTAATGGTAGGAATAGCTCTTGTGCTCTATTTAAACCTAAGCCTCTTTCTGGGTGTGTGTTACTTCACTCAGGTAGGTTTATTCTAGTTCCAGCCACTTGCCTGCAAATTACAAGATGCCATTGTTTTTTACTGCCTGACGAGTAATAGTGGAATGCAAACTTGTACAGCCACTTTGGAAATGAGTATGGCGGTTTCTCAGAAAATTGGAAATCAACTTACCTCAAGACACAGCAACTCCAGTACATATATACACAATGGATGCACAATCATACCACAAAGATATTTGCTCAAATAAATCCATAGAAGCATTGCTATAATAGCCAGAACCTGTAAACAACCTAGATGCCCATCAACCGAAGAATAACTAGTAGTATTTTCTAGGCACAAGATATCCAAATGAAGAAGCTCCCAAGCATATTTCTATATATCTATGCCTAGCATTTGGCTTTACTAAACTTGTCATTAATCTTTAAACATATTTTGAGTGTTGATTACATTGAGTAAATGTGCAAGTTTGAGACCAGAATTCAATCAACCTGATCGTTTTAGAAGCTCCTATAGACCTCAGAGCTTCATCTATAAATGACAGTTTTTAAGTGTTACCTTTAAACTTAAATTTGTTCTCTGACAATTTCTTACATTTATTATCATTCCATTCTCATCTTCCACCTTCTCTTAACTACCTCAGTCAGTGGATATTAGATGTAAAGCAAAGGATAATCAGGCCACAATCCACAGCCCCAAAGAAGCTAGGTAAAAAGGGGGACCCCAAGAAGGACACACGTGAAGGGCCCCAGGAAGGGAGAATAGTTAAGCACTCCTGGGTAAACTGGGAGGAGCAGGTCAAAGTCATGAGAACTTGAGGGATGAAGAGGAATAGGTTGAGGGAGGGGTGGAGGAGAACAATGAAAGAGATATCTTGATAGAGGAAGACATTATGGGGTTAGGGAGAAAACTGGTGCTAGAAAGATTCTCAAGAAACTACAAGGATGATCCCAGCTAAGACTCCTAGCAATAATGAAGGTGTCTGAATGGACTTTTCCCTTTAATCAGATTAGTGACAACTCTAATTGTCATCATAGAACATACATTCAGTAACTGATGGAAGCAGATACAGTGGCCCACAGCCAAGCACTGGGTTGAGCTCCTGGAGTTCACTTGAAGAGAAGGAGGGATTATATAAACAAGGGGGGGGGTCAAGATCATAATGGGAAAAACCACAGAGACATGTAAGCAGAGATAGTGGGAGTTCATGGACTATGGGCTGACAGCTGGGAAAACTTCATGGGCCTGACCTAGGCCCTCTGAATGTGGTTGACAGTTATGTGACCTGATTTGTTGGGGAGGCTCCAGGCAGTGGCACCAGGACCAATCCCAGGGCTGTGAACGGGCTTTCTGGAGTCCATTCTCTATGTGGGATACCTTGCTCAGCCTTGTTACAGTAAGGAGGAGCATGGTCCTTCCTCTACTTGGTATGCCATACACTGTTGACTCCCCAAGTAAGACCTCGCACCTTATGAGGACTGGATGGGAGGTAGGGGACCAGGGGAAGGGAAGGGAGGGGTAACTGGGGTTGGTATGTAAAATAAAAAATATATAAAAAAAATAAACCTAACCCTCATACCAGGACCCCCCAAAAGTACCTTAGCAAGGGGTGTTCTGGTTTCACTTTTGTTTCTGTAATAAAATACCTTAGCAAAAAGAAACTTGGTGGTGTGTTTGTGGGTGTGGTGGGGGCAGCAGCGATGACTCAATGGTTAAGAGTGCTTGCTGCTCTTGTAGAGTTTGGTTTCCAGCACTTAACGTCTGGTAATCACATCAGCTTGTAACTTCAGCTCCAGGGTATCTGATGCCATATTCTGGCCCCTGTTGGTACACACACACACACACACACACACACACACACACACACAGAGGTATCTTTTTTTTTTTTTTTTTTTACACATTTTAGGAGAGAGGGTTTAATTT